TGGAGACATCACGCTTAAATAGGAAAAGGATAAGCGTGTAACAAATAGTGTCCATGGAGACATCACGCTTAAAAGCGTGTAAAAAATATTGTCCGTGGAGACATCACGCTTAAATAGGAAAAGGATTAGCGTGTAACAAATAGTGTCCATGGAGACATCACACTTAAAAGCGTGTAAAAAATATTATCCGTAGAGACATCACGCTTAAATAGGAAAAGGATAAGCGTGTAACAAATATTGTCCATGGAGACATCACGCTTAAAAGCGTGTAAAGAATATTGTCCGCGAAGACATCACGCTTAAATAGAAAAAGGATAAGCGTGTAAAAAATATTGTCCGCGAAGACATCACGCTTAAATAGGAAAAGAATAAGCGTATAAAAAATAATGTTTTGTATAACGAAATTAGGTTTAATTTGTACGCTCGAGATCCTTCCCATCCTCCTTACCTTCATTTATACATATGGTACACATACACAGGGAAATGCAAAAAATTACATTTTATGATGTAAATAAAATGTAATTTTTTACATTTCCCTCCTGACGGAAGAGACCACCACCTTCTCGCGGTTTCCGTCGAGCAACAATATGTACGTTATTTAAAATAAATGTCCAAAACAAATGTAGAATAATTTTTTAACAATTAACGTTTAAATGATATCTAAAATGTTACAAATTATTTTTTATTATAACGTATTTCTGAAATGAAAAGACGTACATGTTGGCCAAGAGTGGATACTGTCATACCTCCAAATTGTAATTTAACATATTTCGTTCCAGTACGCATCATAATATTATCTAAAACATCTAACATTGTTCCGATTAATATGTAAAATATATAAGAAATAGGGAGATAGAAAAAGAGAGATTTTGATAATGACATCGCGCGTCGCGTCGACAAACCGAGATTCTTGAGAATACGCGAAAACGCGATTATCATGTGGATTATATACCGCATTTGTAAACGTCAAACGTAATTATCCGATGTGACAATAAATAAAATGTGTAGATAGTACGTTGTTGAAAGCCTTATATGTCATGTAATTTTACAATAATTTTTTATTTGCTTATTAAAAAGCGAATCGGTTTCTTCCTACAGGTATTGCTCGAAAATTACAAATATCAGAGTAGTATATGATCACTACATTTATTAAAAATTAACTTGTATGTGTGTGTGTGTGTGTGTGTGTGTGTGTGTGTATAGACACAAAATAAGGTATGAATCATTTATTTATAATAACGAAAGAGAGAATTTTATCGGGATGTAACACAGGGATATAATGTTTCAATTTTTATTTGCCAATTATGCGAGAACTCGTATATTTTCATATATATTACAAATTAATCCCGTAATACAACGCACACAAAATGAGTCTCTTACTGTGCTTTTTAAATAAGTTTCAAATTTTCTTCAACCATAAGTACTTATGCTCTTCTTCTTGACTCTAGCCTTTCTGAAAATTTATACAAATTGTAGTTTAAGAATTAACGCAGAAAAATAAACGAAAAAGCGCTGTAAAATTGAAAGTTTGGGAAATAAGGAATCCACTCTTGGCCAGGAACGTGGACAGGAGTAATGTGTTAGAACTATTTCACACATTTCAACTCATTTAAATATGTTACAAATCACAATCGCTTAACAAAACACAACTGCACATGCAATCTTAATAAATAACAGGTGTGTTACATTTTTTTATAAACATTCTCGAATAATAAATATTCATGTCCATATTACTGCTCGACGGAAACCGCGGGAAGGTAGTGGTTTCTTCCAACAGGAGGAAATGTAAAAAATTGTCTAATAAGTCACGTATGAATCATACTATTTGATAATTTTTTACATTTATAAAGGAATGAAGGAAAGGAAAGAAATAAAGCATGTGTTTAAGTAGAGCAACTTGAAAGCATTACAGCGTTAAACCAAACTTGCACAATTAATTAAAATGCTACGTACAAAAAATTCAAAGTAATATTGATCACGAACAAGCGAACAAAATGTTAGCATATGGCATATTATACATTTTTAATTCAAAACGCTAATTGATAAAATTTATATGGAATAGGAACTACAGTATTTAACTACTGTATGTACGGTTACAAAACGTATGCATTTTGCAAAGTCTTTATAAAAAGTTTTATCACATAATGAAAAGCAAGATAATACGCATAGGTCTTTCTTTCTTTACCAAAATTACTCGTACGTACAGAATGTATGGATAATAATAAAACCATAAACTACAGTCTATAAAGTAAGAGCGTGTACGGCATAAATGGCAGTTGGCTTCAAATATCGTTCTAGTTTTTGTGTGAGTCGATAGATGGAACCTTTGTCGTGAATGTTGTGTCACAAAAGATTCAGTTGATGTCGAATTCTTATCTGAGAAACACGGTAACCGCTATGAGTACCGCATACGCATCGCGCTACGAGACTGTGTTCCTTTGTTCCCACCCGAAAGGACCAAAAATGTCATATGTAGCGGCTGCTAAATACATGAGAAAGTCAAAATCGTTCGTCGCTAAGTGGGTTTAGCAATATAAGAAGACAAAAAATGTCGATGGCTTGT